AAATTATTCCAGAAGATAGAGCAGAATGGAAAACTAATACATTATATGAAGCTAGCATAACCCTCATACCAAAACCAGGGAAGGACATCACTAAGAAAGAAAATTATAGACCAATATCCCCCATGAACATAGATGCAAAAAATTTCAACAAAATCCTAGCCAACAGACTCCAGTAACACATCACAAAGATAGTACATCATGATCAATGGGATTCATATTAGGGATGCAAGGATGGTTCAGCATTAGTAAAATAATCAACGTAATCCGCCATATAAATAAGAAAAAGGAAAAGAACCACATGATCATATCAATTGATGCAGAAAAAAACATTTGACAAAATCGAACATCCATTCCTGATTAAAAAAAAAAAACTCAATGAAGTAGGAATTGAAGGGAAATTGATCAACATAATTAAAAGCATATATACAAAACCAACAGCCTACATTACTCTCAATGCAGAAACTGAAACTGTTAACTCTGCGAATAGGAACCAGACAAGGATGCCCTTTGTCACCACTCCTATTCAGTATTGTGCTGGAAGTCTCAGCAACAGCTATAAGGCAAGACAGGTGAATTAAAAGCATCCAAATTGGCAAAGAGGAAGTAAAACTCTGTTTGCATACGATATGATCCTGTATGCAGAAAACTCCAAAGATTCAGTAAAATGCTACTAGACCTTGTTGGATGATTCAGCAAAGTGGCAGGATATAAGATCAACATACAAAAATCAGTTAGATTACTCTATACCAAAAATGAAAGCGTTGAAAATGACTTTAGGAAAGCAATACTATTTACAATAGTATTGTAATAAAATATCTAGGAATAAATGTAACCAGAGAAACAAAGGACTTATACAAAGAAAACTCTACTACAAGAATCCAAAAGCAACCTACAAAAATGGAAGAATGTACCATGCTCCTGGATAGGAAGACTTAACATTGTGAAAATGTTAATACTGCCCAAAGCAATTATCTCAAACAATGCAATCCCAATCCAGATTTCAAACACATTCTTCATAGAGAGAGAAAAATCATTTATAAACTTTGTATAGAAAGGAAAGAGACCCAGGATAAGCAAAGCACTGCTTAAGAAGAAGAAGGTTGGAAACCTCTCACTCCCCGACTTCAAAATTTACTACACTGCTACAGTGGTCAAAACAGCTTGATACTGGTACAATCAAAGATACATATATCAATGGAACAGAATCGAGTATCCAGAAATTAACCCATCTACATACACCCAACTGATTTTTGACAAAGTACCTGAATATATCACATGGAGAGGTGATAATCTCATCAACAGATGGTGCTGGCAGAAGTGATATGCAAAAGACTGAAACAAGACCTTCACTTCACACCTTATACAAAAACCAACTCAACATGGATTAAAGATCTAAATGTGAATCTCAGAATTATGAAGGCCATCTATGAGAATATTGGGACAAATGTGAGGGCACTAATTCAGAGAATACACAGACTACCAAACATTTCGAAAACTACACAAACAAAGTAGGCAAAATAGATGAGTGGGACATACTAAAAATTCAAAACTTGGTGCATCAAAAGACTTCACCAGAAAAGTAAAAAGGCAACCCACTGAATGGGAAAAATTCTTTTGCAATGACACATCAGACAAGGGACTTATTTCTAAAGTATATAGGAAACTAAAACACCTCTACAAGGAAAAGACAAATAACCCTATTAAAAAATGGGCACAGGACATGAACAGACTCTTCACTAAGGAGAAGATCCAAGCAGCCAACAAACATATGAAGAAATGTTCATGATCACTAGCTATTAGAGATGCAAATCTAAAAACAACAATGAGATACTATCTCACACCAACAATAACAGCAAAGATAAAAAAGTATAGGAAAATAAATACTGGCCGGAATGTGGAGAGACTGTAAATGCTTCTGCATTGCTGGTGGGATTGCACAATGGTATAACCTCTCTGGAAAGCAATATGGCACTTCCTCAGAAATTTGGAAATAGAAATACCTTATGATCCAGCAATTCCTCTACTTGGTATTTACCTACAAGAAATACGAGCCATAACACGAGTAGATAGATATATGCACACCAATGTTCAGAGCAGCTCTTTACAATAGCAAAAAGATGGAGACAGTCTAAGTGCCCGTCAACTGAAGAGTGGATAAACAAACTGGTACTTACACACAATGCTATATTATGCTACCTTGAAGAATACAAGGAAGCTGCAATCCACCGCATAACATGTATGAATCTTGAGGACATTATGTTGAGTGAAATTGGTCAGTCACAAATGGAGAAATACTGCATAGGACAACTACTGTAAAAGAGTAAGAAAAATAATCCATACTAAAGAGAGGGGGGTGATTCTTTGCTAGTTATTGGGATGTGGGAGCTGGAGTGAGGGGAGGGAAGGGAAGGTGTAGCACAGGGAAGGGAATTGACACAGGGTAGTTTGGGTGCTAGGGAGGCGGGCAGTAGAAAAGTAGGGAGAGGGGAGTGGACGAACAAAGCGGATGGGAGAACAATTAGGCAGGTTTGCATGGGTACGTGGGATAGAGGTAAATAATGATGTATGTACAATCTTGGAACAGGGCTCTGAGATACAAGAATTGTGACATGGTTGTAA